CCAACTTCAGGTCGGCCATATGTCTCACCACCATTCCTAAGGCCTCTTTGTCACTCTGATACCTCGATAGCTGGCCCGTGCAGCACGGGAAGCCACTTCGGCAGCTTCTGCTCGCTTCAAGCCCTTCTCCGCCTGAATTGCCAAAGCATGAATAGAGGAGTTCACCTGCCAGAATGAGGACAAATCAGCTCGGTAAAAAAGAAAAAAAGAGAGAAGAAAGAAAACAAACACTACTCCGACTTACCACCATGGCGTGAGTTGTAGCACGAGCGCCTATGAGATTTGTAGGAAGATTGGCTCATTGTGCGACCTCCTCGGGGCAAATGGCCTTCTTGCTTTTTCGAAGAGCGTAGCTCAGCGTCAGCACGCTCCCAACCTCCTTGTGACTTCCCGAGCCCGAAGGCACAACCCGGGTATAGGCAGTGTCGGCATAGGGAGCCCCTGCCGCTTCCTGAACTGAAGGGGCCACCTCGGGCTCCCTAGGAGGCTTCATTCTTGGTGCCTCGGGCTTCGCAACCCGGGAAGGATCGGCGCGGACCCGCTTAGCAGCTCGCTTCCTCCTTTTCATGCCATTGAACAGACTCGCACCTCGAGTCTTCTCTGCCTCCATAACACCTGCAAAAAGGAGCTCGACGTCAAAATACGAGAATAAAAACAAAAGCAAAAGTACCTTTATCTGAGCAAGAGACCTACCCGAACTCAGACCGGCCTGAATGAGTTTATCCTCCGATAAGTAGACTTCGCATTTTAGCCCAAGCCGGGCCCAGTCCCGGAGGCCCTTCACCGTATCTTCATCTAAAGCGACACCGGGGTTAGGAACGACCAAATCCCACTCAGTAGGAAACGGCCACCCCGTAGCACTTCGAACCACGAAATAGTCCCGCTTCCATGCTGAGACCTTATTTGGAAGATCGTGTAAGAGCTTGAAGCTCAGGCGAGGTGACAAGTAGTACGCCCTCCTATGCCCGGGCAGGGGACCCGCTTGTTTCTTAAGCATAAGGATAGCAGAAAAAACTTCCAAGTCTAAAGGAAGGCAGTGTTCACAGCACAGGGAGATGGTCCTGACAAGGTTACGGATAGAGTTCGGGTGAAGCTGACCTACAGTGACGCCGAAGTGGTTCATGACTTCGACGATAAGAGGATGGAAGGGAAGGCGCAGCCCGACAACAAGCTGTTCCCGGAATATCACGATCTCGTTCGGACCTTGCTCCCAAGGAAAGTCGCCCTAGGGCAAGCTATAGGCATACTCCCCGGGCAGGTTGAACTGGGCAATGAGGGACCAAAGCCTCTCGGGCGTCATAATGGAAGGCCCAAACTTATTTGGCACCCAAACTCGACGGGAGGTGGATGCCAAGCTACCCGAGGTAACCCGACCTACGGGCTCGAACTCGAGCTCTTCCTCAAGCTCTACCTCGGGCCCCGCCTCGGACTCACTAAGGTTGTCGGGGGCAGCAGCTCGGTTCATATAACTAGCGTTTGACCCCCCTAGAGGACTATCCGAACTACTAAAACTAGACATCGAAACAAAGAGGGTTGAGGACTCACCAGGAAAAGCTACCGGACTACGAACTAGTGACGCGAGCTGACAGGCTTGGACGCGAGCTCAAGGAACAAATGCTGAAGGATGATGGAGGAAAGTGACCAGGGGCCCCCCACTATTTATAGCCATTGTACCTGCACATCAACGACCAAGATCAAAACCATCCAACGGCTCCCCGCAAAATTAGCTGCGCACTCCCCGAGGAAAAGACACTTTGGCGCGCGCTGTTTACGTTCAAAAATTTGAAATCGTTTACGTGCGTGAGCTACACGCAGCTCGGGACTAACCCATATTCGAACCAAGCCAACCCCGGTTGAGCCAAGAACACAAGCAGGTCAGACCATAGAAGTTCCAGACCGAGGCCAAAGTGTCATGAGGCAAATCCACCTGTCATCCCGTGAATTCCCCACACCGGGTCAAGACCCCGAGCATGGGGAGTAGGGGGCAATTGATGGAGGAAGGTTTGACCCGACCCCTTGGCCATACGACACGTGGAAGCAACCGAGAGTGACCTGGCAGAAGCGCCAGCTCAACACAGCAGCGGGCCCACAACCCGAGCTCTGAGGAAAAGAATCCTGAGCTCCCCCAATGGAACCTATAGCCCGGGCCCCGAGCTAAAGAAGTTCTGAGCTCCCCAAGTCGGAACCCGAGCTCTCCCTTCGAGGTCCTGAGCCTTACAAAGAGCACAAAAGGCAAAAACCCGAACTGCCCACCCAGTGGCAGTTCGGGCCACACTTCTATCCGAGTTCAAGACTTCGCCTCACACACCACTTTGGCTCCAAGTGTCCTAATTGAGCAACCGTACCTGACGCCCAGGAGACCCGTACACAGAGGCAGCGCACCTGACTGATTAGGGGTCCGACACATGATAGCCGCCATCCAACGGCCACCTGCCACCGCCATCTCAGACGGACAGAGGCGGCCCTGGCAGCTGGCAGTGGAGGGTATGACACCCGAACTGGCAATTGGCAGAAGAAATGACACCCGATCTGGCAGAGGTAATGATACCCGAACTGGCAGAGGTATGGAAGTAAGTGTACAGGGTGATTATAAAAGACCCCCATCTCACAAGGAAGAGGGTATGTGATTCTTACACTTTCTGTCTTGAACTTTCTTCATTTCCCTTGCCTTCTCAAGAGCACTAACTTGAGCTTCGGAGTGTTCCAACCGGGTTCCTCCCCAGAAGTCTCCGTTTCTTTCCTTGTTTCAGGCACCCCCGATTCCATCAGAGGCGATGTAACCGATAGATAGGACCGACCGGATTACGCACCATAAATTCTTAAAATACCCTTTTTCAGTATCTTATCATAAGAGCTGCTGCATGGAAACGTCGGAATATTCCTGTTTTATTGGAATACGCCTCCTCTATTTGCTAGAAACGCCATTTGGCTTCTCCGGCGACCGTTGGTTTTTCCATGCACTTGAATACCATTTCTTCATCACAAGAGAAACGATTAAAATACTGAGAACATGTAAACAATTAACTAAGGAGAAAGAAAATGGAAAACAAATATAGAAGACAAGAGAAACTAGAGCGAGTTTTCAGCACTGCAAATTTTTCAGAAAATGGAGGCGTCCGCATCCCTACGTGGGTGGTTTTATTATGGTGGTCTCGCAATTTCGGTATCCATGCAACCTTCATCTTCATCGATTCATCCATTACGTTTACTATACAGGATGAGTTGGTAAAGATGAAAGACATTAAATGCATAACACATAGCCAACTTAATGGTGATTCGATTGGCAGGTAAACTAGGTGGTCCAAGAGGAGAAGCAGTTTCAACTTCAAGCCCCGCTATCGGTTATAAATATAAAAAATTGAAGAATCGAACCGGTCAAAAACCAAAATTGATGGACTGGTTAACCAGTGATACCAGTTCAGTTTCGGTTTAAGAAAATAAAAAAACTGACTGTCCATGATTCAATTAACCGAACCTGGAAGACACTAAATGGACAATGGGTTGTTTTGATTATTCTAAGTAACCCATTTTCCAAGGGAGGGGAAACAATATTGCTCAACTAAGAGAACTCCTAAATATGGGTTTTACGGAGTGGGAATGACAGGAACCTACAAAAATCATTTGATGAGCAAATAGGTGTTACTGTCCATGCTCATCTGAACAACGAGGACCGTGAAATTGAAGAGGAGGAAGAAGAGAGAATCGCGAATTTGAAGATCGTTGGATCGATCAATTGAGGAGATCAAAATAACCACCACCCCCAATCCACTACAAGTCTACAATCCTTTTTTTTTTTATTTCTTTTTCTTTTGTATTTGAATTAGGGGAAAATTGGAAATCACGGATTTTTTTTAAATGATAATAATTTTTTGTTAAAATATCAAGTGGGTTGCCAGTTGCCACAGATGGAAAGTTTTCATCAAGTGGGTTCTATTTTAAAAATTTGAGGAATAGTGAATGATAAATTTGACATTTCATTTTTTTCATTAGTATTTAAAGATCATGTTAATTTTCAAAAAAAAAAAATTAGGAGTATTTTAAGACAATATATAAATAATAAGGGTAAAGTTAAAAAATTTCATAAATTCTAATAGCAAAAATTACATATTCCATCAACATTGGAAAAGCAATTCAATGAGACAGCTATATGAATATTTAGGAAGATTGGATTTTGATCAAGGGTATGCCTCGCAGTCCATAGGTGATCTATCACTTACCAGGTACTGGAATGTGCTGGAATGTGGATCACTCTGCCTCCCCATTTTCCTCCTTGTACACTCCTTGATAAGGCTGCAACTTAGGCCAGGTTGGCCCAAACCCAATCCAAAAAAAGTTGAGTTGGGTTGATGCTTAGGTTAGGATTAGGATTGAAATTTATGAATATGACTTTACTTCGGGTTGGGTTAGGGTTGATTCATCGGGCAGCCCAACTCAATCCGTACCTGACTCTATAATACATATCATATATAAATATATTTATTCTTTATTTCCTCTGTTGCTTGCCACCCATAACTTGTTGCCTATAAAAGATCTATTATAAGTCATAACTCATAATAAACTATAGTCATTTCAAACACATTATTATTATTATTTTTTATTTTTGTACCTAGAGAACCGATAAAAACATCGACAAACAAATACTAATAAAACATATGATTAAGTTAAGATCTTAGATTAAAAAATTCTAAAGATTTTAAGGGATGGGAAGGTTGGATTGGGCCCAATCTGAGCCCAGTCAAATCCAAAGTTGACTTTGGATTAAGTTGGATTGGGTTAGGATTGGAGATATTTAGTTAGGATTGGGTAGATCAGGTTGAAAAATTAGGGTTAAGATTAAGGTTGGAGGTTTAGAACTTAGGATTGATCTCAACTCGACCTAACCCGGCCCTACTCGATGATCGAGCCTAAGTTATCAAATGTGGCGGGAAAAGCCATTATTTCCCGCCAATTGTCAGTTTAAGTATTGAGCACTCTTGTATGATTGTATCGACTATCGACGGACTGGCTAAGCCGCCATAACATAAATACAAATCGCCCGCATTTTCTCCTTTACCTCTCATTCTCTCATCCTTTTACCCCTCCCTCCCTTCATTTTCCCTTTTCTCTCGACCCCTACAATTCCCTTCTTTCCGCAGCAGACTTAAGTACAGGAGGATTAGAAGATGTTGGAGCTCAGATTGGTGCAGGGGAGTCTGCTGAAGAAGGTCCTCGAAGCGATCAAAGACCTCGTAAACGATGCCAACTTCGACTGCTCGGCCACCGGATTCTCCCTCCAGGCCATGGATTCCAGCCATGTCGCTCTGGTGGCACTCCTCCTCAGATCGGAGGGCTTCGAACACTACCGCTGCGATCGGAATCTCTCCATGGGGATGAACCTCAACAACATGTCCAAGATGCTAAAGTGCGCCGGTAACGACGATATCATCACCATCAAGGCCGACGACGGTAGCGACACCGTCACTTTCATGTTCGAAAGCCCTAGTAAGTTTCACCTTTTTTGTCTGTCTTCTAATTTGCTTTTTAGTAGCCTAGCATGGGAAGATCCTGATGGGGAAAAATAAATAAATTATTTATATTATTTGAAGGGTGATTTTGCCCTTTTTTTCAATATCTTTCATCCCTCTTAACAGCCTTCAAGCATCTGAGGGGCAACAAATGTGCAGAGATTTTATGTGTAGTCTTTTCAAGTATACAATTCTACTAATTGATATGGATTTCTCGCTTTCCGTTATAACACTCGACTAAAAAGATCAAGATAAGATTGCCGATTTCGAGATGAAGCTGATGGACATCGACAGCGAGCATCTGGGAATCCCCGAAGCGGAATATCAGGCCATCGTTCGTATGCCGTCATCCGAGTTCGCAAGGATTTGCAAGGATCTCAGTAGCATTGGGGATACTGGTAATATTGGTTTTTCTTTCACCAGTATAATCATTTGGGTTGTATAAATTTGAATTTCCCTTTTAGCCTTTATGTTCAAAACTCAATTATGGGGTTGTGGGGTGGTGGCAGTTGTAATCTCCGTGACGAAGGAAGGCGTGAAATTCTCCACAAGAGGTGATATTGGGACTGCAAATGTAGTTTGTCGCCAGAATACAACTGTAGATAAGGTACGTTCTCGAATCTCTTTTTTCAACCTAAAGAGTTCTGCTCTGCAAAAGCAGGGTTCAAGAATTTTCCATTGATGACAGTGAATCTTAGTTAATAAGATTCCAAAGTCTGGTTTTTTAGATTCAGTTCAGTTGTTCTTGAAGAATGGGATTTTGTTTGCTGATTGAGTCCAAAAGACTGGTGCTTTAATTTATCTAGTTTTACAATTAACTAATGGATGATTTATGCATGCCGATTTTTTTTTTTCTGGGGTGAATTGTTACAGCCAGAGGAAGCTACCGTTATAGAGATGCAGGAGCCAGTATCTTTAACGTTTGCACTGAGGTACATGAACTCCTTTACCAAGGCAACTCCATTATCAGGCACGGTCACCATCAGCTTGTCTTCTGATCTTCCCATTGTGGTCGAATATAAGATTGCTGAGATGGGCTACATAAGGTTCTATTTGGCTCCCAAGATTGAAGACGAGGAGGAAGAGAGCAAACCTTGAGATTGATGGATCCGATTCATAATCCCACATAATCTGTTCTTTTAATCTTTTCTTGATCCTCCATTGAGTATGTTCTTTCATTTTAATTGAAGGTTGTTCTCTGTCAACAATCTTCTAACAGTTGCTAGGATTTTAACAATTTTTACTAGTGCATGTAGTTGTTTACCAATCTTGTAAGTTAGGTGGGTTAAATGTTTGTGGATTTCCAAATATTGATTTTAACAATCAATCGTTGATAATCTGTTACCAATAGATTAGAATAATACATGGAGTGAATTCATTTAGTTTGAAGCTTTTGTTACCAATTACCCAAAAAATAAGCTTATCTGCTTATGTTACCGTTTTTTCTTCAATAAACACTTCTCTTGTCATTTGAAATGAAAGTTCAAAGCATTTCCTACGATGAGTTCTTTATTATACAAAAAGGGTTAGGTCAATTCAAGAGCTTGCTTACCAATGGATTCTCCCAGCTGGGTCCGGATCTCCTGAAAGCAAAAAGCGTGCCAACACCCGGGAGAGCACTGCTTTCAACCTGTTGGTAAAATGGTAACATCACATCTGCCTCATATGTTAAATTCATGGGGATATGTTCCTGATGTGTTGGTAGATGCTATTTGCTGTATTCTCTTATCCATGGTGAAGCCCATACTCCACTTTTTATATTTTTCATAAATCTATTTTGTAGAAATTGATAACAATTGAAGTTGGCAAAATCTATTATACATTTTATGAAAATTGTTGTAAGATTATTAAAATGTGAATGTAACTAGTGATAAAACAATACCTCACTGATGACTATCAAAAATGACATTATTAACATTGCTAAAGTCTTTACTGTGATTGGTTCAAATTTTGATGTACTTAAAATGTTGAGAAAATTCCCTGCACTTTAGGTTTAGTACACTGGACTTTAAAATGTGACAATTCATTGTCCAAATTTTCAAAATGTGTCAATTTGTTGTTAATTAACCATTAAGTGGCATTTAAAAAGACAAAATACCCCTTAAGTGTCATCTAATTCTCTTTATCAATCATCTAAACATTGATAAAAAAATGAATACTGTCAAATCCTTGCTTCTTCTATTCAAGAAAGTTAGGGTTACGTCTCAATGGGCATTCTGGTGACCCGAGCTTTCTTGAATAGAAGAGGTAAGGATTTGAGACTATTCATTTTTATCAACCCTTGGATGGTTGATAAATAATTAGATGACACTCAAAGGGCATGTGTCTTTTTAAATGTCATTTAACATTTGGTTAGTGGGCTGGTTAACGGTAGATACTAGATTGGCATGTTTTGAAAGTTTGGGTATTGAATTATGGTGTTTTAAAGTTTGGGAGACCAAATTGACACTAAGCCCAAAGTATAGGGTATTAATTGAGAGTTTTCCCTAAAAATTTCAAAATGCATATTCATTGAAGTTCTATTTCATAACAAAAGAAATCAAGAGTTCCCTATAATGGCAAGTTTGCAACTCTTGCTCATTGATTGTGAGAGTGCAGTGAATGACCTGTTGCTAATTAATGGTGAGACAATCTAGTGTTCAAGATTTTGCACTTCACCTCTAAATTCCAAGCTTGCTAGGGTTTTAGATTCTTTTTTTTTATCCCAAAAGAAATGGTGAGTATATGATCCTTGTTCACAATTGGTTGAAGGTAGAACTAATGGTGACGAACCCAACTATCTCTCCATCTCCTTTGTGTTCTACCATCAAAATAACTCTATAACATCTAGGCTCCGCTTGCTTTTTGGGAAGTTCTTTACCTAGGTGAATGCATTTAACTTGTTACCCATGTTCTTTTATTTCCTAGGTAAATAATGACTGTTTTAGTCATAAAATCTATTATTAAAAGGAACAATTTTATCTCATCCAAGTGTTGATAAATTTTCCCCCGTATGGAAAAGTTATTTACCCGCTTGGGAGATGGGTATCTTCTTCCCATTGACCAACTTCCCCCCCTCTTAAAATCCAAAAAAAAAGAATACCCCTCTAACTTCTTTGTAGAAATTCTTGATAACACCTCCATCCAAGATCCAATGCAAAGTTTATGCTTAAAGCACTCATTTCATCATTCGGAACAATTTCCCTTGCTCCTTTTAGTATGTGTTTTGTATAGCTTCCATTTATTAAATAAACATTTGTGCTTGATTTGTCACCAAAACTAAGAAAAAGTGGTTGATAAATGTTTTGCTGGGATTTGTTGACAACTAAATGCCACTATGCGCCATTAAGCACTACATCAGCGGAACAATAAATAAACACTTTTGTATCGGGGGAAGTGTTAAAATGAAGCTTCCCCCAATGATTGTTTTGCATGTAAATCAAGATAAGAATTCATCAATAAATATACGTATAAAATAGCATGATGGGACAAATGCTAATTTGGCAATGACATGTTACCGTTTATCAAATAAATGGAAGCCATACCAAACACCGCCTTAGTTTTAGGTCCTCTTGCATCCTAGATCATGTACTTGCCAAACTCAGTACAATGGGTTATTTTGTTTGGTTTGGGGAAACCCCAAATTGTATCTCAAACCTCATTACAGAGGACATTGCCTCCCTTAGGAGGGTTGTAAATCAAGACATTAATGATGATTGATTTTGGCTCTTTGCTTTTTCAAAAAAAAAAAGTCTATTGTTAGCATGATTATAGATCTGTATAGAATTTAATGACTCAGAACCTAGTGGTAGAAACAGTTGTTGGTTTCAATTTATTCTACCGTATTGATATAAAGAAAAGGAAAATTGTCTAAAACTCATCATGAGTTTTCAACATTTTTCTTAAACTAACCACAACTTTTCAAAACGTCTAAAACTCACCATGTCAGTAAGTTTTTATTTTCCAAAACTCACCTTCCATTAGTGCACCGTTAATGTTTCTTAACAGAAGTGTCCATGTCAGCATAAATAACAATTTTTATGACCAAATCACCCTTAAATGGTGAGTCAGAGGAAAAGGGTCTTTTTCATTTTTTTTTACATTTTTAATGTTTTGTTATGATTTCTAATATTTTTATAATTCTTTTTTACATTTTTTCTATTTTCTACCATCTATAAAATTTCCTGTATTTTTTGTTATTTTTTTTTGCAACTTCTGTGTTTTTCTATGATTTTTGATGTTTTTTTCTACATTTTTTATTTTCTGATTTTGTTTTTCAATTTCTATAGTTTCTATAATTTGAAAATAATTTTTTATTTTGTGTGCAATTTCTATATTTTCTTTATATTTTTTTGTAATTTCTGTGTTTTTATGTATTTTATATTTGAAAATATTTTTTGAACTTTTTCCTTTTTTTCATGTCTAAATATTAAAATACATGTATATATTTTATATTTTTCTATGAAAGTTAAAATGGTAATATATTAACAGCCGTTAGTCTCTTTAACGTCAAGTTAGTCACATGGTGAGTTTTAGACATTTTGAAAAGTTGTGGTGAGTTTAAGAGAAATGCTGAAAATTCATGGTGAGTTTTTGACAATTTCCTTAAAGAAAAAAAAAGACTCAATTTGGAAAGAGTGCAAAAACAAATATGTTACAAATACAAAGTTTAAGAGTACAAATACATATATGCAGTTCAAAACCTTGTATATCTTACTTTTATACCTTGTGCCATACATATTTGATTTGCATGCCTAAAAATGTGTAATGGAACCCGTTGTCCAAATTAGGATTTGACAAACTTTTTATAAGGCTGCATTTGGAAATGATGCAAATAAGTGTGAATGCAAATATGTAGAGTGTAAAGCAATTCATATAAATTGTAAAATTAAGTTAGTTTTGCACCGACAAATTTACCTTCTTACCAAACAGACTTTTAATTGTAATGGATGCAAATATGAATTCCAATAAAGCATATGTTTTTTTTTTTTTTATCAAAAGCTCACTTGAATGCAAATTTACTTCTTTTTTATTGATGTACTTTTACATCTTATTATCAATGTAAACATGCAGTCTATCATTTATCAATGCATAAATATAATATTGCCAAAACAACCACAATGCAAATTTACCCTGAACCGAGATTTATACTCCATTTGCATCGTTTCTAAATGCAGCCTAGGTGTCAACCTTTTGAACTGGAATAACTCAGAATGCAGACGATCCAGATTGTTCTCAGAGTGTTTGAATGCCTAATGTTTTCAACAGATCCCTTCATCTTTGGCATGACACATTAGTCCATTTGAATTCATTGCAACAGAAACAGTGCTTAGGGCAGGTCTATATGGACAATGGACGCATGTCATATGGAGAGAGCCTGACAGCATGCCGTCAAAGTTTTCTCGATCGCATGCTAGGTCTCGGCTGGATCCGGAGAATTCAGCTTGACGCCCGAACGCCATAAATGCTAAGTGAAAGATTGAATAGTCGTTGGCATAGGCCATGGGGATTTGCGTATGTAATCGCACAACGAAACACAACCATAATACTTGGCATACAAAACCCATATACTGTTCAAGTGTTCAACCATTGGTCTCCTCCCAATGGTGATTTTGGCAGCCAAAGGTAAATATGACAACAATGTATCAGTGCATATCGTACTCGGCATCCACCAAAACACTATTTACCATGAGTTTATGAGTTAGGGTATTTCCATATTATAGATAAATAAACGTTAAAACCCGTCTTCCGTGAGCTGAACAAATAAAAAATAAAAGAGAATCACCGTTTGGCACCATATTTGAGAAGTCTGAAATAATATATACTTAAATGAAAAGTAGAATTCAACACATAACACAACCCTGAAACAGAAAAAAAAAGTATTCCCTCGTATGTATAGATTAATAAACATTTTACAGCACCTGTAAGACATCACTATAACCGAATGTTCAATACCTGAGAAAAGGGAAAAAAATAATGGTAAAAATTATCAGAGCATCTTTCATTAATTAATCAGAGATGACAGACCTATTAGGTTGCAATTCAATTCCGATCCAAAGAATAGCATTCCTCAATTACCCCAAGATGGGAACTTTGGAAGAAGGAAAGACCAATCAGTCCTTTTATTGAGAGTCCCCTATTTTCGGCTAAACTGGTGAACGCTGTTGATACAGGGTAGAAACCTTTTCCTTGGCTTCCGGAAAAGAATATGGAGGGCACAATATATGGCTGCAAACACTGTATTTAAATCTTGGCTAGCATGTTGTTGCCCCCACAAATGAGATGTGCTTGCACAGTTTTTTTCTGGACAAATGTGTCATTTGCTCCTTTTTTTGGCTTCACTGTAGAGGACTACGCCAATGACTGTGAGCGTGTAACCAAGCATTCCAGTCACTGAGACAGGATTTTTGAATATCAAAATTGAGACAACCACAGCTACGGCCCCTTTCGCATTCCCTAGCACCTGCAGAGGATAAACAACTCCTTACTCTCATGGTAAACACCAAATCCAGCACAATTTCTAAAGAAATGTAGAGCAGCAGAACATAAATATTTTCTTTTTGACTGGGGCGGGGCTAGGTGGCGGCCATATATATATGTTGAAGGAGTGTAGCACGGATACTGATGCAGAACATAAAATATGACCTTTGCCTATTACCGAAAAAGGAAAAGGAAAAAAAATAATGAAATCATGGAGTCGTTACCATTTCTTAGAGTAGGTGACACAGAGCTACATGATGATACAGTTTTCACGCTCTTGATTCAGCCATTTGGGGTTTTATATAGTAAATTACACATGAAGTTTCTCCTTTTAGGTTCGCCCTCCATTGACGAATCCTATGCGGGCATCCTAGTGTAGCATTTTGTCCCCCCCTCCCTCTCTGCAGTGTAGCACTTAGTATTTTACATGTGGAAGCTGAATTCTGTTTTTAGAGGAGTGACTAGTACCATGGTAAATAAGTTGGCATCCTAGAGTAGTATGTTTTATGAAAGCCTGACGGCTTCTTAAGTTTGGGAAACTATTTAACTACTAGTATGAATGACCTTTTGTTTGGATAGCTCTTGGGAAAAGATTTTTTTGAGAAATGGGTAATGTATTAAAAGAAGCAAAAGATTTACAAACCCTACTCAAAAAGAAATTGAAGCAGGAGAGAGAAAATAAAAGCTGATTACATATCTGATCTAGATACAAAAAAGATTTCTAAAACAAAAGCTGACTACAAAAGCTCTTGGGAAAAGATGTAAAACATAGAATAAGAATCTTATCTTGAACTCACATCCTTGGCACCGTTGATGCAGAAAATTTTCTGCACCAGACCAATAACAAGCTGCCATGCCAGCCAGCCCTCCATTTCAGAATTGAAGTCATTTTTCTGAATGGTACCATCTCTTATTATGTGCAGGGGTAAGGCTGTGTACATCTGTCCCTCCCCAGACCCCCCCTGTATTGGTAGGAGCCTCATGCACTGGCCTGCCCTTTTTTACCATCTCTTATTATGCTTACTTGGTGGCAATTTGTTATCTGTAGCAATATCTTTGCCACAAATGATTTGTACGATTGTGGAGATTTGTGAACCTCTCATCGATCACATCATTAACATAACTGCTGATCAAGACATTTATTCTAGGCATGCATTTCTAAATGACAACTTTTCAGGGGCAAAAAAAAAAAGGAAAAAAGATGTAAACAGGCAGTTGCAATGTTAAAGCACTGTAGTAGATTTTGTTTTATTTAGCTAAAGAATGTACTTTTTCTTTTATTGGAAACGGTAACAGCTAAAGAATGTACTTGAAGAATAGTATCTTAATTACCAAGAAAAAAAGAATAGTATCTTAATTCAAAGTACAAAAGTGAAATGCAACATATTACCAATGCATATTGCATCATTCTCTTAAATTTTCATATCCTTGGGATTATTTCCAATGACATCTCAGTATGATATAAAATGGTCTGATTAAATGGAACAAGGCTTAAGGTTGTGTTCAAGACTACAAGTCTACAACCGAGGAACAAGGCAGTGGAAGGTGATTTCAAGTTGTGGTTGAAGAGTAATTGTCAAGGCACATGGCATCATAGGCATACTTTTGAGAGAGATAAGCAATCTGGCAAGGGCCTTGGGAGTAACAGTTAGGTGCCGAGATCAGTGAACACCTTAGGCAAAGCCAGACCTAAATCTAGTTTATTAACTTTGATTCTTGACTGAGATGTAACCGGAGGACGTCCTGATATGTAGATGACCACAACACTGAGGCGTAGCCAGACCAAGTGGCTTTACTGCATCGAGGTGCCACAAAAGGTCTGAGGTACAGGAGATACAACTAAAAAACCCTATTTGTCTGAAAGGGGGGCTAAAAGTGTCAAGGGGTCAGAGTGACAGTTTAGCTGCCTTGATCAACAAGTCATCTAGACACTTAAGACAACCCAGCCAAACAAAAATGGAGCAAAAATGGCAAACACTGAGACCTGTCTGTTGTACCACAGCATTTATTGAAAAATCTACGTAGTTCTCATTCTTGAAGTACCACAGCATTCCAATGCAGAAAGGCATCTCACTGCCTATCCTAAAGCTTCCTCTTCGGTAAAATTTCCCTTGCAGCACTTTTGCAAAACTAGCATTTCAAAACCTCACCATGAATACTTTATTAAACCTATAGGCACACTTTTGATTCCTAAACAATGTATCATGCAAAAGTTTTCCTTGTATGTGTTATTGTTTTGGACAGCTCAAGGTTGGATTTGTATTGTCCCTGCTGTTAATTTGAACAGTCAGGGCTTTTGTTCTCATGGTTATCAGTACAATTCATTTTGATTAATTATAAAAAACAGTGTATTATACAAAGGTTTAGTAAGAACAAATTGAGAACCTCAAACCATTTTCTAATGCATATGATTATTCAAATTGGATATGGGGGCAATACTTCTGGTGTTCATCTTAAAAGTAATGGTTGCTCTATTTTCATTTGTCAGTAGCATGGATGTGTGGGTATGAGCAAACCAGCTATAGCTAAATGTTTAAAAAAAACATCAAGTATTTTGATCAAGTTAAAGTTGAAGAAGACAACTAAGAAAAACATACAAGATCACAACACAAGCCTCCAGGGATGATCACCTAGAATACACAAACTGATCTTTCATATGCACAGGAAAAATGCAAAACAAAAATAACCATAGAATGCTGCGATTGCATTAGCTAGATAATGGATATAATTTGGCTGTATCCAACCCTGAGTGATAAACACATTAAATACTCTATTTAGAAAGATGGGGCATACCTGAAGGGTCAAAGCACTGGTGTGTTTAGTGACCAAGAAATTGGTCAAATTTACAAAATATGCCAGTGTAGAATTGAAGAGAAGATACCAGATAATCCTGATATCATCCCTTGCAAGTGCCAGTGTGATTCCAACCACATTTTCCTCCATCAGAAGAGTTGCAGGAAGAAGGAACAGAACAGCTATTGGAGCCATGTAAAGAAGGAGGTTCATAGAATTCAGTTTTTCCCTATACAATGATAATAACACTTCAGTAAAGTTCTCCAACTTCAGAATACCTCACATGTAACTAAAAGTTTCAAGCCCTTGAATTTAAATAGAAATGTATATACAATTCATTACCCTTCGGAAGAGAGCAAAATCCCTTGAAGAACTGTTTTGAGTGCTCTCGCAGCTGTGGCACCAACACACATTATGAACCCAAATAGGTGGAAGCTTGGTTCACCCTATAATCATGTCATAAGAAAGACATAATTAAACATTTCTTTTGGTTTTAAGAAGCTGAATATTAGATTGTTCAGTAGCTACAACTTACAAGAATAGAAATAATATACTCGCTTAAGGAAAGAAAATAGCAATAGAAACAGTATTTACGACCAATGGCTGTCTGATATACGGTGGAAAGAATATGCCGCTAATAAAAGGAACATAATCAAAATAATGGTTAGAGGTTCCTCAACTGAATTAAGGGGTATACCCCAGTTCACACGGCCTACCCATGTCCCATTCAATTATAGAAATCCTAATAGATCTTAACATTATCAGAAACAGGAGATCCTTGTTCCAAAGAAAATTTGCATTTGACTTTCATATGTTGACGTCATATCTTTTTTGCATTTCTCTCTTTTCGTCTCCTGTTATTGTAGGATGGATTCAAGCACCAATTTTCTCCATCAAGCAAAAACAAATAATTTAAAAATCTAAAAATGTAAGTGTAGCAACTAAAACCTACCAAAACAAAAGCCCATTTTTTCTGTTTCAAACTACCAAGCTTTCTATAAAGGTGAACAAAATTAATTAAAACTGATCTAACAAAAAAAAAAAAAGAAAAAAAAGACAAGAAGCCCTCACCCCGCTGGCGATGATGACCCCTGTGACGACAGGAATAAGCGTGACGTAAGTAATCCAAGCCTCCCTCTTGACCGTCATGATGTAGGCGAACACGGCCGTAAAGAATGGTGTAGTGGCACCAATTGCCTGGTTGAATGACACCGGAAGGTATCTAAGTGATACATTGCCGCTGACAACGGAACCGCAGAAAACAAGACTAAGGGCAGCGATCTTCATGAACTGGACCCGGGATCGGATGGTCTGCAGGGGGACCATCTTCATCCAAGAAATCGCAACATAGCTCAGCAATGAACATGCTGTCATGTGGCACATAGTGAGGAAGATCGGATACTTGAAGCCATAGTTGCTGAGGAGGTACTTGTTAAGCAACAAAACCCCGATGTTCGACGAGTACCACGCCGTCACGAGCCCGATCGTGAAGAAACGGCTCAAGCCCTTCATCGGAGAACCTATCGAATTCTAGGGTTTCCTTACTCCTTTTCCTTGTTTTAAATCTGAAGATGAGAGCTTGTTGCAGAAAAGGGGTCGTCGCCGAGCCTACTACTAGAAGAACATGGATCTGCTGAGCCTGGAGTTAGGATTTTGAGGACAAATGGAAGGGGCACGAGGAAAGAATACGAACAGAGATTTGGAATTAGAAATGATCATTCGTGATTCTACGGAGAAGATGATATCAAGAAACGACAAGCAACAATCTTCCATGGATCTGAATAGAGTTTCATGAGAGAACTTTTGGAATTTAAGGTTTCAGAATTTGAAGACGACCAAGCTCTCCGGCGCTCTGTCTTCTCCACAGATGGAGAGAAGAAGAAGAAGAAGAAGAAGAAGAAGAAGAAGAAGCGAGCTTGAAAGAGAGGAGGTAAACGCGGATGGGAGTTTTATTTTGTTTGTTTTCTTTTTAATCGATTTGATTTCTCTCCCGTGTTTTGTGTGTGAGCGAGTGAGAGCCGAGAGAAGTTGTGTCTGACCCTCAACATTTAAAGACAGAGTTATTATTAATTTATTATTATTTTTTTGTACGAGAAATGGAAGTGTATTTATCATTTTATGAAATTGGAAAAACGAGAAGCACGGCCTGATAATAATCAGATTACTTATATGGGAATGTACCGGTAAGCAGGCACCACACCAGCTCTCTCATAGTCTCATGCCATGCCAACGACATGGCTCAACACAATGTGGGGTCCACTTACCTACTATTTCGTGGGGCCCACTAAGACGGTTTCCTGATCTCCTCCATGTGGGTCCCAATTGAGCATCAGGACGTCAGACTGGATGTTTAGTCTGTGCTCGGTCTCGGTGGGACCCGACCCGACGGATGGATTGGAAGATTCTCTTTCTCTATCTCGAAGGATGTTAAGATGTTATTAGGAGCAGGTGATCGTCTCTGTCCCGGGGATCCTCTCACCGACAGCCCGACTTCCCAATTAGGAATGAACGTTGGTTGTCATTGCCATGCCAAAGAGTCCCTGGGTTTGGGTTTGGAACAGATAACGGTTGGTTATCGACCAACCGAAATAATAATTCAAGGTTTCGCTGGATCGATGTGTCCAAATCACTTCCCAAAATTAAAAGAATTAATATTTGAAAAATTGTTTAAAATTTATCATGAGTTTTTAGCAATTCTCTTAAATTCATTACAACTTTTTAAAATGTTTAAAATTCACTATATCGGTAAGTTTTATTTTCCAAAACTCACCTTCCCTTAATGCACTCTTAATGTTTCTTAACATAGGTGTTCACGTCAGTATAAATAATAATTTTTATGATCAAATCACCCTTGAATGACGAGTTAGAAGAAAAAGGGTCTTTTTCATTTTTTTTTACATTTTAGTGTTTTGTTATAATTTCTAATGTTTTTTTTTTATATTTTTCTATTTTCTACAATCTATAAAATTCCCTGTATTTTTTTGTTATTTATTTGCAATTTCTGTGTTTTCTATAATTTTTGGTGTTTTTTCTACAATTTTTGTTTTCTGATTTTGTTTTTCAATTTCTATAATTTTTATAATTTGAAAATACTTTTTTTATTTTGTGTGCAATTTCTATAATTTTATATATTTTTTGCAATTTCTATGTTTTTATGTGTTTTATATTTGAAAATATTTTTTGAACTTTTTTCTTTTCTTCACATCTAAATATTAAAATATATGTATATATTTTATATTTTTCTATGAAGGTTAAAATGATAATATATTAACACCTATTAGTCTGTTTAACGTCAAGTTAGTGACATGGTGAGTTTTAGACATTTTGAAAAGTTGTGGTGAGTTTAAGAGAAATGCTGAAAACTCATGGTGAGTTTTTGACAATTGTCCTTAATATTTTATTTGGTAAGATTTTTTTTACTAAAACACCCCTGTAGTTTTATGAATTTATAATTTGTGTTTTATTAAAAGACCTCTATATTTTATAATTGATTTACTTAATTAATCTTTCATTAGATAGTGAAAAATAACAGTTTTGGTTTTGACCATAATGTCTATTTAAATAAATTTAATTAAGAGAAAATAAAAATGAAATCACTCTAGTAAGACATGAACAACCATAATATTGGTTATATTTGGTCAATTTTATTTTTTTGTTTGAAAAAGTGTTAAAGATTACTTTTAGAATAAAACAATCATGAGCCTATGTTCACTTTGGATGGTCATGTTATTATTTTCAAATGGCAAAATAAGTATTTCTTAATGAAATGTAGACTAAGTAAATAGGTGCAAACTATTTTTAATAAATGAAAACTATAGGTAGGTTTAAATAAATACTTGAAAGTAGAAGGGATGCTCTACTAGTAAATGACCCAAAAATTAAATAAACTTTTTAGGGTAAGAATTTTTTTTTTTTTTGGGGGGGGGGGGATTGGGGATAGAATTGGGTAAGACCTTAAAATGAAACTAAAATGGGCCTATCTTTACAATGGATAATTAACTGTTGTTGGTACAAGGACGTACCTAATATGTTGGCAGTTTTTACAAGGTGAATGATGATTCCATCTTTCTAAGTTGTGAACCTCATTAAAGGAGAGGGCTGAAAAAGGATTTAACTTGCAGAGGAATGCTGATTCGATTTGCCATTTTTAGGTTACATTAATGAGTATGAGAGACCAGTAAAGCAAAATAAAAGAAGAACCACAATGAATGTCTAATTGATTGTTAGTAATTTCTGATATATTGAGATATAAATTTAAATTATAAAAGGTAAATTCTCCATGTTATATGCATTTTTCATTAACCATATTAACCCACTAATTATATTTAGCGTATGGTGGCCACTATAATATTAAAGCTGCATCACCCGTACTAAAAAACCACTGGTCCTTTATCCCACATTTAATTGGATTCTCTTTTGTATAATAATTAGGCTGTGTTTGGTTCGAAAGAAAAAATAGGGAAAGGAAGGAAGGGAAGCTTTTATAAACCTTGTATAAATTTTCCTACCTTTTTCGTTCAAATCAAACATGTTCAAAAGGTTCGAACTTGGAATTGTATAATTGAAATTAAGAACAAAATGATATGTCATTGACATTTTTAAATTACTATTTTTAATGGTTTTGGTGGAATTCATTCTTTCCGCCTCTTTGATTGCAATGCATCAATTTATTGTTGTTGAGGTTGTTATAAAAGGAAGGTAGCTCTCTTGATGCGCATTTAATCTACTCAATTTGCATTTGCATATTTATTTATAGATTCCCAAAGTAGGGCATATGACGCTATTGCAGTATTGCTATTTATAAGAAACAGAGGATCTGAGATGAAGAAACCATGAAAATGGAAAGAGAGGCCAGTTCACCTAAAACGTTAATTTGGTTCCAAACTGAGCCTAAGTTTACTAATTCACGCTATTAATCCCCCAAGGCACTTCGCCTATGCTAGATTGTGGCATTTTTTCGCCTTTACTTTTCAGAAATGCCTTGCACGTGCTAACTTATATCAGATGGCATTTCTTCTTTTTCATTTTCAAGTAAGTCCATCTGCCAAAAGCTGCAGACTCCAATCCAAATCTACCAACTGAGCTTATTTTCCGGGTTTAAGTTGGTTTCTTTTGTGGCACTTCTATCTGTTCAATCCAGTCGTTTTGGAGTTCACGTTCGGCCCCCGCAGAATGCGTCCCAACAACGCCCCACATGCACATCTCAGTGTGCATTCAGAATATTTCTCGTATTTATCATTGAGAGATATTCCTAATACACGATTGGGATGTGCTGTAAGACATTTTTATGGCACATTCTGTGAGGGGCAGATTTGAATTTGTTGTTTTGACAACATTCAGTGTATTAGTATATTTCTTTCTAAAGAAGAAAAAAGGACCTACTTTTTAGAAATCCACAACCACAAGTCCACTTACGAGGTTGTAAATTAGAACCTTAGGCTCCATGTGTAAATACAAAAGTGTTTGGTACAAATATAAATATGTAAGATTCATAAAAATGCATATTTATTTTACCTTTGCACTCAAGGTTCAAAATATCGATACACCCAATATGCCGATAGAGGTGTATCAGGCAGTATCAGTAGTTTTTTTTTTAATCCGGTTCAGAGGGGTCAGTTTAGGGGCGTATTGGGAAGCTCCCAATACGATACGTACCGGCTGATACAAGCCGATACGTATCAATATTTTTAACCTTGTTTGCAATGAAGAATGTGTATTCTTGCCAAACTATTCTTAATTATTATTACTAGAAACGTGAATTTCAAGACTGGAATCTACCTTTTTTCACATTGACCATACTTTGAATGCAAAAGCTTACCTCCATTTTTTGTATGCAAACTTTGATATCATATTTGTATTTACTGTCATTTTATAAATTTGTACTATATATATTTGTATTTGTATTCCTTTCAAATTAATCCTAAGGCTCCATTTGGAAGGAATACAAATATAAATATATAGAATGCAAAACCTTATATTTTGTATTGTTTTCTATGTATTATACTGTACATATTTATATTTGTATTCCTTCTAATTTCAAATTTGGAAAGAATACAAATATAAATATGTAGAATACAAGTATATACAAAATATAAGATTTTACATTCTACACATGTATATTTATACTTCTTCCGTACTCTTCTCAAAGGAACCTTATAACTTTATAAGTGATAACCCCTTCGTATTAATCACAGGAGAGTAGGTGAATATAATAAAAGATTTTAACTTTCAATTTCTCGTATTTTATGTTTATTTCTTTTTAAATTCTAATCAGAATAAAAAACAATATATTCTATGTATGATATGAATTTTATTTTATATAATAGATGTTTGAATATTGGAACGTGGTATGTCATGGTTAGGCGCAGCCTGCCTACCTCCAATTCTTAAGCAAGTCGTCAACGATAAAACAAAACGAAGAAAAGAGATAGTCAAAGTCATAGTTGGCATCGGCCGAACATGCACAGAAGGGGGGGAAGAACCCAGTTTACTTAATCAGCACATGGGTCCTAACAACCCAAGTAGCCAAACCAGCTGACCCCCATCAAATGGTTTTAACTTCTAAGTTCTAACCATTTGATCTGCCCCACTCCTATGATCAGTCTTTATTATAACTTAAAACCATGTCGTAACAATTTACAAGCCACCGAGTGGCAGAAAAGTGATGATCTAGATTCCTTGGTCAGGTCAATATTTGGCGGAGTGCTTATTTTAGTATTCTGAACTTTAGGGTAGTGTCAAGTTAGTATTTAAATTTTCAAACGTGTTATTACAGTATTTAAATTTTTAAAAAGTGTCAAGTTGGTCTCTGTCGGTAATTGATCATCAATTATTTGTTAAAAATGTCAAAATTATCTTTCAAAAGAAGACACTGTTTATTGTCTTCTACTTTGAGACTGAATCGATTAAAGTGTTTGAGATTCTAGACTAATAAAGTCATTGTCTTCTACCTTTAAATCTAAAACACATTCTTATCTAGTTATTTCTTTGTTTCCTTCTATCATATTTCATATTTTTTCTCATTTTTCTTTAAAAATAACCATTCAATCTCAAGATAGAAGACAATGAACAATATCTTTTTATGAAGAGTAGTTTTGATATTTTCAATAGATGATAATTAACAGTAAGCTAATGACAGGAACCAACTTGACACTACCCCTTCAAGGTACTGAACTAAAACTTTCCCTAATTTTTTTTGACTTTTCTCCCGAGGATGCTGAAATCTGAAATGTGCATTTTATTATACGGTGTAATAAGATAATGTTTTTCGATCAAGCGCCATTTAGATTTTTTTGGCCAACTAAACACCGTTTAAAATTGGATGATTTGGATCGAAAGGAATCTGGACCCTATGTCCAGTTGGTCTGTCGATCAATCATACGTTTCATGCCCTCAATCGAAATGAACCAAAAGCCCAACAGACGTTAAGTGACTATTTGGGAGGCTTTTATAGGCCCCGGCCCCACATAGAAGACAAAGTCTGTTTGGTGAAAAATCTAGAAAGACCTCACCTGATAATTGGACTTTCCAGTGACATTAGTTTTAATAGCTTTTTCAAAGCAACTCAGTCAACGGGGCTCAATCAACGTCAAAGCTAAAGCGTTGATTGAGCCCATTTGGGAAGGAAGGCTTCTAAGCTGACCGAGCAGCATTGGAAAATCTACCTTAGATAGCTTAACCTGGAAGTCGATTTTCAGCTTATGTAAGCCTATTTTTGGCTTCCGATTTTTTTACGAAACATCACTTAACAGCTTCCAGCCTCTGCATGAAAGCACTCCCAAAAAGGCACTTATTGTCTACCATCATCCTTTCCCCACAACACCTATGGGCTATGACTACGAGCCTACGACTTACGACACCTTGATTCTACCACCGTGGAGATCGATCATCTAACTAATAGCGCTCCTTTTTTCTTTGTGAAAAAATATATATCATTAAACCAAACAGAAAGAGCAAATGTCCAGTCCAACATAACAAAGATAAACAAAAAAACAAACAGAAAACAGAAAAGCCAACTAGTAAACCACTAACTACCAGAGTTCATCTCACACCTACGACTATCACTATCTTTGTTTAAGACAATTGGCCATCCATTTAGGAGGGGTGCCAAAAGACTCCCCATTCTCAAAATGTCCCCTGCAAGCAGCCATATGAGCTGCAAACATCCCAATTGATACCATAAAATGACTTTTAACCACGAAATGGGGAAAGCAGTCCGCACATTGGATGTCTTTAAACAAGATAAAAACTTTCATCTTTCCACAAAAGGAAAAACTCACCCCAACCATCGGAATAAGTGAGAGAAAAAAAAAGAACATTTCAATCCCCCTTGCAACCACCCTCTGTTACATAGGAAACATGATTACCGTTTAACACCAGAAATACTGAAAGTTTGTGCTGAGTATGCTGTCGCACTAAGTTGCTTGAAGTCTCTCTCAGATGAACTGCAAAAAACTTTGGAAGAAAGATCATGGCAACCTCCAGTCGGGACCGGCATAAACTGCTAGCTCTCCAAGCTCTTCTTCAATTCGAAGCAACTGCACACAAAAATACAGCTTTTAGTTTGTATCCTTGTCATTTTCTGAGTTCAGTTCAAGAAATGTAACAGTGTGGCAAAAGTGCCTAAGCGATCATGACTTGTATATTGGAAATAATCACCAGCTAGTATATTGAGACAAGATAGGGAAATGTGCAACCCCACTAAGGTAGCTAATATTGCAAGCCCTTAATACTTGTCATCAATTTCTCTAAAAAATACGTCATTTATGAAGACATGATCAGGACAAATTATAATTTGTTACAGAAAAAATGTGAGAGATTTCACGTCTGCAGATGTGGCAGCCAAAGCACAGCATATCTAATGCATCCCATGGATGTAACTTGCGGTGCTTTATATTATTTATATAAAAATGATGAACCTAGTTTGTTTTTTTTTTTTTTTAATTCTTTGGCGAACAAGTATACTTAGATGCCAGAAAAATTGTGAATACGATTAAAGAAGTCAACTCTCAGTGGTTTGATGCCTTTACAAAGTAGCCTCTACTTAGGACAAAAGACCCAATAAACTAAAATGGTAGTATTGCAAACATGAGTCTATCAAGTGAAAAGTCAACCTGGTTGTACTTCACAAGTCGCTCTCCCCGGCAAGGTGCACCTGCCTTGATCTGACCAGTGGCCAGGCCAACGGCTAAATCAGCTATGAATGAATCTTCAGTTTCTCCACATCTATGGGATGTAACGACTCCCCAGTTGGCATCCTTTGCCAGCTTCACAGCTTCGATGACTTCAGTCACAGTTCCAATCTGATCCACCTGTATATTGCCCACCAAAATAATGAGAAGTACAACCAACAGGTTAAATCTGTATGACTATAAGATTTTCAGTCATACATAATAGACTTCTCTCTTTAGACAACAGCGCTAAAGATACTCCTTAACAAGATCATTATTCATGCCAGATAAATTTTTTGTTTTTTGGTAACTTACATGCCAGCTATATAGAAGCCGAGAAATGGTCCATTTATTAGGGGTGCAACTCGGGATGGGTTAGGTTGGTTTCAGTCAACCCTAACCCAACTCGAGCAGTTAAAAACTATGGCCTTCAAAATTAAAATAATTGGTTAAGTGAATAGATACATCAGGTATGGCTTGGATCAGGATGCCCAAGACGTCAACCCTATCACAACTAGATTTTAATATTCAGTTGGTATTTTTTAACCCTAATCCAAACCTGACCTTTCTTTGGGTTGATTTGAGCTAACTCTGCCCAACTGTGTGGTTTTCTATTTTACACCGTCACATTGGCAATAAGAGCCATCTTTTAAAATTCTTTTACTGTTAACCAAAAAAACCCTTTTAGTATTTTAATTTTTTGAGTATTTCTATTTGAAAATAGAAAAAAATAAATCCAAGGGTTTCTATTTAAATGAAGCAGGGTATGGGGAAGATGTGATGAAGCCATGAAGGAATTAGATGAGTAACAAATCCGGAAGTTCTCTAGTGAGATGCACTGCTAGAGCCACTGACAGAACTACACATTGGGAGAGAAACACTTTCACTTCACTTCAAACTCTACAGGCAACAAAGCCTGCATTGCAGAACAGAAAACCTCATAAAAATGGGCCTTAAATAGCCATATGTAGAATAAATGAATACCTTGAGAAGAAGGGCATTGCAGGTGGATTCGTTAATTGCTCTCTCAATACGCTTTGGATTTGACATCAGCAAGTCATCTCCCACAACCTGCAAAATCGTGCAGTCTTAAGAAAACCTTGTATTATCAGATGATCAACCCCCCCCCCCCCCAAACACACACACACACAAAACCAAAGAGAATGAAACAAAGCAAAGTTCTTGGGGCCACTATATCTGGCTTATTTATTGTAAGCATCATGTAGCTGTTGAGTAGTAAGTTCAACTCCTATATACCCATCTCCATATGGCACCCCATGCCCTAAGAAGAGAGAATCTGGGTAGAGATCAGTGATGTGGATGGTCTAGTAAAAATATTCCTCAAAAAGAAATACATAACAGACCTGGCAAATCCCAAGTCTGGAAAATTTCTTGGTGTGCTCCCAATCCTCCTTGTCAAATGGCTGCTCAATTGATACAATTGGATAATCTAATAGAAATGCCAAGACATAAAAAGCTGTTTTAGCCTATTGAACATATTGATGAGATAAAAGATGGCAAAAACAACTATCAGGAGATACTTGGCATTTTGCACCTTTACAGAGTTGTGTGTACATCTCAATCATATCCTCCCCTGTCTTAAAATTCTGCCCTGACTTGTCTGGGGATTTGAAGTCCAAATCATATTTTGTCCCTAAATCAAGAAATAGGCCAAGTTATTTAAAAAGTTGGAATATATAACAGGTCATTTGATATTTCGATATTTCTGAAGTTATAATAGCTACAAATATCAATCATATAATGATATTACAATGAGCCTAGTTTGCGGGCCATGTTTTCCACAATTATATAGTTGCAAGACTGTTGGAAGGGTAGGTATTATCATCACCTAAGCAGAAATTAGTTGCAGCAACATCCATTGCTATCTTGATCTTATCATTGTATCCTGTTCGGTCAATTGCTTCCTTAACAAGATCCAAACCTTCTCTGAAACTGCAAACTGGAACAAAGTCAGCTGAATTCAATTCGACTCAGCCTTAATCCCAACTATTTGGGCTCAGCTAGAAAGCTAGAGAGAGAGAGAGAGACTCTTCAAAAAGCTGAGATTTCTTCATAAGTATTGGGGTAAATCCACCATAGAGCTTGAATATATTTAACCAACAGACACCAATTTACACCTTTTCAAGTGTCCAATTATTGAGCAACACAAGACAAAGTGATAGGTCATTGAGTCTTCATTCACTGCTCCAATCCAAAATCTTTTTGGTCTAGGCCCTCTCCGTTAATTTAACATAAAAGGAACATTACATAAAGGGGAGAAAAACTTGCCTGGAGATATTGGGAGCAAATCCACCATCTTCACCAACATTGCATCCAGATATGCCATATTTTTCAGTAATAATGGCCTGTCCATTTTAACCAGAGATTAAATCATTGAATGAGCAAAGGAGCATGCAACATAATCATGAGGTACCACAATAAGGTTGCATTATTAATTACCAGGTAAAAAGTCACTAACACAAAAATACATGGCAACTGGAAACATATCATAAACTTAGGCTATAACTCAACCCAGATCAAAGATCATAACCATCCAATATTGACCATTATTGTAGTCATCAGGCAAGAATCTAAACAAGATAAAATCGTTGAGAAATGCTTATGAAAAATTTATAGTTGTCAGCTAATCACTTGTACAATCAACTGACAAAAGATCTATTAGCACATAAACTCTAATATGAACATTTCATCATGGAATGACTTTCAGAAGTGACAGATGAATCACGAAGAGGATTTCAATATAAATACTTCATAGAGGCTTTTTATGCAATCAGAATTTAAAACAGAAATTTTCTACATGTGCTACACTTGTATACTTTCTATTGATTTATCTGGAGTCAAAAAGCTAGATTCAGTTGCATTACAGCCTAGAAGATTATCATTTTTACCATTTGAACTAGTTGCTACCATGACAAAATAAGAGAAGTTAATAAAAGCAAAAGGAGGGTGTTTAGCATGTGCAGATACCTTTAGGTGGTGATATGTCTCAGAGCCCATTTGCATTGCCTCCTTAAATGTGTTTGCCCCAACAGGAAGAATCATTATTTCCTGATTCATTTTGATTGTCAATTGTATTCTAGTTGAAATGTCATAATGTGTAACAAAATCTCCAAAAACCAAAAGCAAGTATCATAAGAAAAGCCCAAAGAAATTCAATTTCTCTGCTACAATTTGCCTTTACTTAGCATGCTATCTTAATCTGTGAATATTTTTGCCATAAATATATGACAATTTGAAACATGGAGATTAACTAGATAAGATGGGAAAACACCAATCTTTTTTTTTTTTTTTTGATCAGCAACAAAGAAAAATTTTCATTAATTATGAGAGACATGATTACAACATGAAGTTGTGAAAGGAACCAGCTATAGAAGCTGTCCCAAATCAGTACTACATTTGAGCCCTAAACATATGTGCTCTATTCAAGGTTTAAAGTATCGACACAAATCATTCCGGGACCCCTCCTATACGCCCCTACAGTGGGTGTATTGGGGGTCTGACCGGTTCAGGGTGTGGAGGAGGCCTAAACCGGCTCCCCTAAACCAGTTGCGAAAAAAAATAAAAATAAAAAGCACCAAAAGCTGTATCAATTCGCCTGATACGCCCATACCGGCGTATCAGGCGTATCGATATTTTGAACCTTGGTTCTATTATCCCTTGCTTGGCTAAGCTATCTGTCAAGCTATTAGCAGCCCTCCTCACCCATTTCACTTGGATTAACATGTCCAGTGACAGCCATTTGAATTTTCTGAATTCATTCCTCAAGTGCCATGCCACCCCCTCCCCTTTAACCAGCCACTTAACCACAGTTTTAGAATCTCCCTCAATAATCAACCTACTAATACCCAGTTCTTTTGCCTTCTCAACACCAATCATATACACAAAGAAATACAATCATCCAGATATCATCCTCATTCAGAAAAGAACAAAAGGGATCAAACACAGTGTTTTAAAAGCACACAGCGCAAAAAAGTGCAAAGGGTTTTTTGCACCCAAGGCGCAAGGCGAGGCGCATGCCATTTTCAAGCAATGCAAAAAATTTTTAAGTTTTCAAAAAATGCAAAAACATGCAAAAAATATTAAAAATAGCATTAAGTAAAAATTCAAACTTTAATTTTAAATTAAATGTTTTAAGAAAGCCAATTAGCTCAAATTAAAATACATAAAACATATTCAAAGTGAAGATGCAAAAATAAAATCAAACATAACATATAAAACATATTCAAGCACTCAACAATTCAAGCATGTAAAATTTTCAATCTTTTTATTTCTTTCCCAATTGCATAACCTCAAATACCTAATGTGATGTTAAACATCTTGCATCCTACCAAGCCCAAACAAGCCTATGCTAGGGTCTTAAATTCTTAATCTATATTTAAAAAAATAATCTTATGATTTTAATTAATGTTCATTATCTTTTAAAAAATGTCTTGTATTAAGAAGAATGGATGAACACCATTAGCAAATGGGGGTTATTAGAGCATCAGCGAGTGAGAGTACAAGGATCCTTTGATAGTAGGGCTAACCTTTTATGTAGTTTACAAGACCTATTAATTAAGGCAGGGCCACAGGGGACATATAAATGTCCAACTCTAGGAAGGAACCCTTTACTTCACTGAAGTTCTTTTTATCTTCTAAGTGAATACCATCAAAGAAGTTAAAAAGCCTGGGGAATTCTGTGAAAATATGTATGAGATGGGCATAAAAACTAAAAAGCATGAATCCATCAAAGGATGTATAAAGCACACATTTTTAGAACCTCCGATGCCAATGAAGACTCACTATAATGGTTTCCCAGTTGAGACCACCACCTAGCCAGATCAATGGCAACAACATTCAGCTCTACAGCTCTCTTCCAAAACATCTGGCCCATCTGATTATTGCATTTGAATATCAAAAGGGAAGAGGGATGTTTTGCAGTGTCAATCCTAAGAACAAAGAGAAAAACTATGATTTAAACCATAAACTCTGCTTTGCTGATGAACCACCAAAGCTCAAAGTTATTTTAATTGCTCAGTGAAATTCAGTTTACACTTTTACTGAGTATTGAATTTTTTTTTTCATTTCCTGATGAAATAAACATCGGCAATTTTGTTCAAAATGCTAGGATCCCAGATATAAATTCTATACCAAATATTAACCAACCATTTAGATTTATAACCTGGATCTAGATAGGGCATACTTGGGCAGCCAGATTATTCCCAGCATGCTTTCCACCACTAATAACAGTGAAGGCAGGGACAGGAAGAACCAGGCCTGTTTTACCAGAAAGATCAGCAATATGTTTGTAAAGGGGGGTCTGAAAAAAGAAAGAAAGAAAGAAAGAAACATTAAAAACACATAAGCACTGAAATAAGAGCCAACAGAATCACATGCATGTGTGTGTGTGTGTGAGAAAGAGAGAGAGAGAGCTAATATGGCATTACCTCCTTTTCAGCAGCACCAGCTTTGCAAGCAGCAATTGAAACAGCTAATATGGCATTACTTCCAAGTTCAGCCTGGAAAATGAGAAAAACGGCATATCAAAGATTATATTCCAATTTCCAAGTAAGATGTTCATAAGTTCACAGTTCCATACATTAAGAGCTATCCCTGAAATGGTGAGTTATTCTTACCAACATTTTTTTTTGATAATTGAAGAGTAACTTTATTAAGAAAATATGAGAACTGTTACAAGCATCCCGCTGAGAGGCACGAGGTGCGACCTCCCTTAAAAAGTGAAAACTACATAGCACTATAGATCAAGATTACAAGGTAGCCTAGTACAAATGTTCCCTCAAAACCCCTTGTTTAGCAAGATAATCTACCATAGCATTTGCAGACCTGCCAACCCACTGTATTCTAACATTCATGTTTCTTAATAACCAGCTAGCCTTCTTTGAGAGGTTCTTGTAGCACCAAATGACTGAGCTCGGATCTGCTAACCAACCTACAACAATCTTGAAGTCTCCTTCAATTTGAAGGTTCTCAACACCAAGTTGATTAGCAATCTGAATACCTTGTAAAGCTGCCAACGTCTCAACCCTATTTGAGTCTCCTATTCTCACTGGGCCCGAGTACAAGGCTAAGATATTGCCATCCTTATCTCTCGAAACCCCTCCTATACCTGATGGGCAAGGATTGCCTTGACTGCTTCCATCAAAATTCAGTTTTACACAATCTTCCGATGGCGGAGTCCATACTATAGAAGTCCTTTCCCTCTTGAGGGAACTATTAGCCACTTCTATCCAATTCCTTCTAAAGTCATCAAAGGAGAACAAATGGAAAGATTCTGAAGTTCTCAACCAATGAATTGTCCTTGTTAAGATGCACTCTTTGATATCCAAGAGACTTTGTTCCTTTTCTTGAAAAATTCTTGCATTTCTTTCCTTCCCAAATTGTCCAAAGTGCAGCTGCTCTAATACATTTCCACATAATCCTCCCTCTTTTTGTGGGCCATACAAAGACCAACAGGTTGAAAAGCAAACTTATATCAGTGGGTAAATTAGTAAGTGGAAACAATCCTCACCATTAGCTTTGCAAAGAACACACCAGCTAGGGGACAAGCACATAAAAGGCTTCTTCTTTTGTAGGCAGTCTAGAGTATTGATTTTCCCATAAAACACTTCCCAACAAAACAAGATAATTTTGGGGGGAACAAGCTTAGCCCAAAGCTCCTTTACTGGAAAAAAAAAAAAACGATTGAGGGGAGGAAGAACAGAGAGCTTTCACAAAGGAGGAACAAGAAAAGAAACCTTTTGGGTGGGGGGACCAAATCCTCTTGTCTAACTGTAAGGATCCAAACAAACATTATCAAGAATCAAAAGAAGTTGAGAAACATCACCAAGTTCAGCATCCCTCAAACCCCGATGGAAGCCAAAATCCCAACAAGTTCAATAAAAAAAATCTTGAATGATAACAGATGGACAAGGCTAATTGGCTAAAGATATTCAATCCACCTTTAATGTATAGCTAAAACTTACCTCTTCGTAGTAAAGCTTAAGAATCTCACATAGGAATGCCATGTGATTCACAATGTGCCATAATGACATATGAAAGAGAAGGAAACCTAAATGATAAATTGGTGCTAGAAGGCGTTCATGAACAAAACAAGATAGATTAGTGCTCCAAAGATTGGAGCCTTTTGTTGGGAAGCCTTCCTTGTAAGATGTAATACTTGTGACATACTTCAAAGAAAAAGGCCTTTTTGGTGCTGGTCTCCGAATTGGTGCATTCTTTGCAAGGCTAATGGTGAAAGCTCTTACCACTTATTAGTTTCTTGCCCCTTTGTTGCTGATCTTTGGGAATGGTTTTTTTCCTCTTTTGGTTGCAAGTGGACCTCACTGCCAAACATTCAAAGTTTGTTTAGCCCCTCGTTCTTTGGTTGGCCAAACAAAAGTGGAAGGATAATGTGGAGATGTTTGAGGGCTGTTGTTTGCTGGACTCTTTGGGAGGAAAGGAACACCATAATTTTTTTTTGAAGTTGAAAGAAGTAAAGAAAGCCTTCTTAAAGTAGTAACAGTGAGGGTGGTACATTTGCTGAAATCCTTGGTCCTGTTTGTTGATATTTCTATGGATATGTTGCTGAATAGCTGGTTGGAGGTGGCAAGTTCTGCTCCTGCCCGCTCTTTAGTTTGTCCTATGTGGTCACCACTAGGAAGTGGACTTATAAAGCTAAACTTTGATGGGAGTAGTGAGGGAAATCTAGGTCCATCAGGTGTAGGAGGGGTTTTTCAGAGATGAGGATGGGAAGGTGCTCGCTTTGTATTTAGGTCCCATTGGGGTTGGAGACTCTCTTAAAGCTAAGGTCTGTGCAGTACTGGAGGGTATAAGGAAGTCTAAGGAACTGAATATACAAAAGTTAGTCATTGAAGGGGACTCAAAGCTGGTCTTAAGTTGGCTACAAGAAAGGAGTGGACTTTGGAAATTTGCTAATGAGAGGAGGGAGATTAAATGACTAACTAGAGGACTAGAAAATCAAGTTTTAATGGGTCAAGAGAACAGCAAATGCATTTGTTGATGCTTTGACAAAGCAGGGGGTGGGAAGGGATCAAATGTTTTGGGTTGTTTTGTAACTTTTCTTTTTTGTTATCTTCCTGGAGAGAGTTAAGCTTGTTTATCTCTCTCTAGAGTGTTGTAACTAAATTCTTTTAATCTAATGAATTCCAATTATTGATAAAAAAAATCAAGCAAAAATACAAGAGAAGCATATCCAAAAATCCTCTAATCTGGAGGTCATGTGCCCAAAAGGCTAAAACAGGTCAAGCATTCATTGAAGAGAAAGATTCTCCTCTTCCCATATGTAAAGAAATTAATGAAAAAATTATTTAAGTTATTTTTTAAATTTACCACACCTTTCCAAACAATATTTTTATAAGGCAAACTAGAAACTGAAAAATCTCACTGGGGGCCTTATAACTTGCTTTTCACTAGACTACTAAAACCAAGGTTTAAAGCATCAGAAATGCAAGGTGTATCGGAAAGGCAATTTTAAGAGACGTATCAGGATATGCTTTGGACACACATGGATATGGATGAAAAATCAAGGTACACATGGATACATTAGGAAATCCAAATAAATCCTTAAAAACATATTAACAACAATAAATATGAGTTTTATATGACTTTAACTAAGTTATTTAAACATATAAACCATACTTTAATGGTTTATATAAAGTGTGAGCTATCGGGACATAATTGGTAATCATTGAAAAATAATGGAAGAACCAAAATGTGTGTGTGTGTGAGTGTATATATATTAGGAAATCAGCATAATTCATGTTAATATTTATTAGTATATAAATTTTAATAATCAAATTTTATCATTTATTTACAAGCATCCACTAAAATGAGAAAGATTACTTAAAAATCAACAATGGCAAGGCAAAGGATTAAGTAAAAGAGGTAAAATCTATTGGCAAACAATCCTACATGCGGTGATGTGGGTGTTTGGGAAGAAAGGAACAACTGTTTATTTAATAACAAGACAAAAACTCACAAGGAACTAGTCTCTCAAATCACTTATCATTGTAACCTTCGGGCCATCAATTCTGATTTATTTAAAGGACTCTCAGTGAATGATCCCAACAGAAGTGCTCAGTTTTTTCTCTTTTACTTGGCATCCATCCCCCTTCTGTCTCACATGGTTTAGTAATAAGAAGGGAAGGAGGGATGATTCTAAACTTTGACAGGAGAGCATCAGGCAATACAGGAGGAGCTGGCATAGGAGGCATAATAAGAGACAGAAGGGGTTTTGTTATCTGGACTTTTAGTGGTCCAATAGGTGTCACTGACTCCACCAAGGTGGAAGTGTTGGCAGCTCTTACGGGAATCAGAATAGTAAGAACCCTGGGCATTCAAAGTTTAACCATTGCAGGAGATTCAGCAAGCACAATTAAATGGCTAAGAGACAAAGAAGGTGGCCCGTGGAGGTTAAACCACTTCTTGATGGAAGCTAGAGACTCTTTGGAACCGCTAAATGTAAATTTGATTGGGATTCCAAGGGACTTAAAACTCTGTTGCAGATGGTCTAGCTAAAATAGGTGCCCATTTGGATGTCTTATATAGTGATAGTTTGATTCCTGTGTAATCTCCTGGGATCTCCTGGGGCTTCCCCCTTTGCAAGTACATCTCCTCATGTACTTTCCCCTTTATTAATAAAACTCTGTTATCTTTTTCTCAAACAAAAAAACATATTATTAAGACAAACAATTAGAGTATGGTGTGATTATGCATTTATGATCATTACAAACGAATGGCCAAAGTTCAAACTTCTTCCCTTCTACTTATGATTTTTACAAGCCAATTCAGTGGTGTATTCAAATTCAAATTTGAATATTGCCTTTAATGGTGAGTCAAATTCAAAAGCTTAATTGAAATTGATTTAAATTAGCATTTAAAGGGGTGTCAAATCCAAAGGCTTAATTAAAAGTGATATAACTGAGAGAGAGAAATTAAATTTGAATTTGAAAAGATGCCAAAATTTAGAGAAAGAGAGGGAGTACTAAAATTCGAATTGTATTGGTTGATACATACTGTGTATCAGCCTATATCAGGTTTGCATCGGACCCAAAACAACCCAATACAAGGCTGATATGGGCTTGTGTCAGTCCGATACAAATGAAAGATACAAAATAATTGAATTTCATATGTTCCGTGTATAAGCCCCATCCCAAAAGATACATTTTGACTGGTACTACTCTCCTTCAACACAAACTGATCTGGTGTATTTCAGGAAACAAGAAAAAAGATGGAAGGAAAAAAACAGAAGAAAATTGGATGGGACTTTATATATGAAAAAAAGATTAATTATATAACAATGAACTAGATTTGAGGGCTCACTCATTCAAGAGGTTGAGAAATCACTCACCCAAGAGAGGATTCTCTCTCACAATGGCTTTATATAGAGTAAAATATTGCTGTTGAAGCATTTAAAGTAACACTAGTTGTTCGAACCCTACACTAAACTGGCTGTTAGAAACTCACCAACAGTATAGCTATTAGAAACCTACCAACAAAATAGCTGTTAGAAATCCTCCAGCAAAATAGCTATTGGAAACCCACTAGTGAGCGTTAAATGTAATTCCCATTTGCCGTCTCCTATGAAATGTGGTTTGGCACTTCTCAAAGGTCAAAGCACAACCATAAGATGCATCATGATTTATTTAAATTATCAACAATCAGCTTTGTGCTTTACTGGCCTTTCCAGGACCATATTGAGTTTGGGATATAACAAAGATCATTAATCTTATTTTGCTTCTTTTTCTAAGAAAGCTTCGAAGATCAAACTCCACTTTTAACCCTCATCCTGAACTTCTTCTAATTTCCAACACATTTCTCCAGACTCTAACTAGATCAACTTTAAAAATAGATAATCCGCATAATTCATGAATTAGACTTTGGATGATTGGGGAGAGATTATTGTCGAACCATTATATGTCTGAAACTCGAGTATACATGCATATTTAAGCACACACACCTAACTTGGAAAAAGAACTCTTACCTTATTTTCAGTTTTGTCCAAGTCTATCATAGCCTGATCAATTTGGGTCTGAAGTGTTGGATCCATTCCAATCAAGGCTTCAGATATCTTCTCATTGATGTTCTTAACTGCTCTAGAAACACTTTTTCCATGATATTTTCCCTTGTCTCCATCACGTAATTCAACAGCTTCATATCTGAATTAATGAATGAAACATTAGAGCTAGTGTTTTTTGATTGAACAATAACAACACCCACCATGACAGCAGATTATTCAAAACCCTTTAATTTACACTTGACAGAAAATACAGAATCTCATTTCTCTTTAAACATGTTCAAGTTGATGAATGGATCATCCACAAGTGCAACACCGTTGCTATTAGCTAGAAATAGGTTGATTTATTCCAAAGGGATTTCTTATTCCCTATTTTCAAAAGATAAAAGAAGCGTATTTACTTTCATTTTCCTTTTCTCGAACTCATGCACTCCTGGTCAGAAATTTCTAAATTTCTAAGAAGAATCATGTCATCTGAATCGTTAGAAGAAAAATGGAATGCGTAAATTTTCAGGTGCTTAGCAATAATAAATTCTAGAAGCAGTTGAATTTTGAATAAATAAATTTAATAAAACAAATTCCGCAAGAAACGAAAGTTAACACTTAACGTACGTTCCAGTAGAACTCCCGCTAGGAGCTGCAGCTCGAAACATCCCTTTGTTTGTGTATAAATCGACTTCAACAGTAGGAATCCCTCTACTATCGAGAATCTGTCTAGCTTTAATCTTCGTAACCACAGAAGAAACGGATTTCTTCATATGATTCGACTGCATTTTTTAATTTACCACGAGAGAGAGAGAGAGAGAGGAGGGGTCAGTAGACCATATAAACATGAAAACAAAACCGATGAACCGTGAAAAACTTACGATAAACAATACTGGATCGGGAGCCTTGGCCCTGACAGCAGCATTGACGGCGTCCTCGATTTTCCTAGACAGCATGTGCTTGTCCAAGTATTCTTGCACAGACATTTTCTACTTCCGTTCAGATAGGCTTCTCCCGTTCAGAAATAAAGCCAAATTTGCCTCTAGAACTATAGAAGTCGACCGAAATCGGCGATCTATGCCCTAGTTTCAATACACCAATCTGAAAAACGCCCGTATCACCTCTGTAAAACTAAAATTTGAACTTCTGAAGAGCCGTGTGCCCTAAATCTCCCTCGCAATGACAACTAGAGTAGATTCCTACAAGCTTTAGCAGATCATCCGTCTAAATTATCGTTGGATCGATGCTGTTCGTGCCCGAGGTTTGTTACTGTTAGTAGTTTCGCGAAGCTGGTCACTGGTCACCGGTGTATTGGAAGGAGTGTGTTTTACGCCACGGACGCCTCTGCCCTCTGGCTGCGGGGTTAAAGCTTAAAATGCGGGAAAATTTATACTAATTACAGACTTCGATTCTACGAAAAGACATTACTGTTGTCTTTCAATTCTTTCTCATTGTCTCACAATTTCACAAACGGCGACCACATGAAACGATGAAAGTCATGAAACATTATTGTCTAACGAATCGGCCTCTAATCGGAACCCGCTAACGGTGGCAATATTACGAGAATTTTAGGGTATCCGAATATCTAAAAGGCTAAAAGCAATATTAGAAGCGTAATGGCCCAAAGGCTGCGTTTGGAAAAGATGCAAATGGAGTATACATTCCGGTTCAGGTGTTTGGCAATATTATATAATATTATATTTATGCATTGACAAATAGGGGTGTTTATGGTAATTGAACCGTGGGCCTTATTTTGTAATTGAACCGGTACTATTAGTTTTTGAAAAACCGGTAATCGAAACTAAACTGAAACTAATCGGTTAATCGGTTGATCGATTCGATTAACCATCGTATTTTGGTTTTTTAATTTTTATAATATATTTAAATATATTATAAAAATTTATAAATATATAATATAATATTTTAAATAATAAATAATATATCATATATTATAAATATATATACATTTATATATAATGCATATTTATTAATTTATAATATATAAAAATATAAAAAATATATAATGTACATAAATATATATAAAATATATAGAAATATATGTATATTGGTCGGTTTGGTTAACCATCGGTTTTCTATATTGGTTAACTAAAACCGAACCAGAACCTTTGGTTTTTCAAAAACACCGAGCTGACTAATTCGGTTAACTGATTTTTCATTTATGTTTTTTGGTTTTTTTTGCTCACCCCTATTGACAAATGATAGAAAACACATTTTCCAATGCATATTTACATTGATAATTAGATGTAAAAGTACATCAATAAAAAAGAAGTACATTTGCATTCAAGTGGGATTTTGATAAAAAAAAGGCATATGCTTTATTGGAATTCATGTTTGCATCCATTACACTCTACATATTTGTACATCAATAAAAAAGAAGTAAATTTATATGGACCGTTTTATACTCTACGTATTTGTATTCACACTTACTGTTTAGCTATTGTCTTGCGGTACCCTTAAGTTTTCAGACAATTGTCATTGTTGTTAAGTGCTAATGGAATGAAACAAAATATCAAATTTGCCCTCCACTATTCCTCAAATTTCATCCCCTCTTCTTATTCTCTTTCTCCTTCTTCCTCTGCTTATCCTTCATCCATCTTCATCTCTGTTTATCATCTTCTCAATGGTGAATAGAGAACTACCATTAGCATTGGTTGCTTGTTTGCAAATATCAATTCCTTTCAACGAGTTGCAACTAGAGTTCATCCTCTCAGAACTAGTTCTGAGGCCTCCATTGAACCAGTTCTCCTGAAACACCGCAGTCTCTGAGTAAGAATCTTCTTATTGTACCTCTGCCAATTCCATAAATGGATATTCTCTTCTCCCAAATCCAAGCTGATCTCTGCTCGAATGACGCTCTCCGCCATTGCGGTGCTCTTCTTCAAGCTCTCCAACAGTCCGCAGCTGGTAGAGATATTTTCGTCATTGCTAAATCTGCCTGTAAAGAGATCGTTGCATCTCCAGCCTCTACAGTCTGCAATAATCTGCCTATAAAGGAATCAACAACTTCAATTGTTATTATGATCTGTACTCTTTGGGAGGAGGAATAGGAGGTTGGAGCTACAATTTTGTTGTAGAAGATGACAACAACTGTGGTATTGAGATGTGATGTAATCGGTTCCAGTCATGTATCATTTTTTCGTGATGTGTCAATTTTTTGGCTAAGTACCTCGTTATCTCGTCTGCTCCCAAGTGGCCTGGGACTCAGAGGCTGAAGTGGGGCTCCCTAGTGGCGAACTACCTGGTGGTGAACCACCTTAATGAGCTGCTTGGAGGTGAGCTACCTTGATGAGCTGCCTGGAGGTGAGCTACCTTGATGAGCTGCTTGGAGGTGAGCTACCTTGATGAGCTGCTTGGAGGTGAGCTACCTTGATGAGCTGCCAGGTGGTGAGCTTTGTTGCTCTTTTAGAGGCCTGCAAGGAACCAAATGTCAGAGAACCCGGGGGTGTTTACCCGGCGAGGTCACTCCGATGGCTAAGTCAGCACTTAGTAGCGAGCTGAAAATGATATAAGAGAATGAGAGAGCTAGAGAGCAGAGGTTACCCATCCTCTTTTTTGCCTCATCTTGCCCCTGGGGGGTGAGGTCTTTATATACTGGAGTCCTCGTTGGTTAGGTGGAGCAGTTCCTGGATTCCCGCTGTGACGGGACCTGTTTTCGTGTTAGGTGGGCATAAAGCCACCAACTGGTAAGGTTGCCCATTTCTGCCTAACTCGGGGAGTGGGTGAGCTAATATAACCGTTACAAGTCACAATCCCGTAAAATGCAGGGTACGGTGGTGTGTTCCTCGAGGTTGTCAGGTTGGCGCGTGGCCCAGGCTGCCAGCTCATGCCAGTGCCAGGTTGTGCCAGGGCCAAGCTGTCAGCTCGTGCCAGGGCCAGGCTGCCAGTTCGTGCCAGGGTCAGGTCGCGCCTGTGCCAAGCTGTGCTTGGTGGGACACCACCAACTTAGCAAAGGCAAGTTGTTGCCAAAGTGGTCACGGGTGTCACCTAGTTGT